TCAAAACATGACCGGGACACCATCACAACATGACCGGGACACCATCAATCAAGAAACGACAAGATAAGGAGGCGCGGTTCTCCGCACAGAGTGAACGGGCGAAGGCGGCAGTGTCCCCCCCAGCCAAATCAAGATCAGCGCCACCCCAGAGTCAGGAGCTGAGTCCGGAGGATGGTGAGACCAGGTCAGGAGGAGAGGTAGCCACAGGCTTCCGGCCCGCTCCGCGCCCCTTTGCACACCCCAAGGGCATGCACGAATATAAGATCGCCTTTGCAGCCCATTCGAGAGTTGCTGCTTTCGTCTCTCCGGAACAGCAGAATTGCAGCTTCGAGCATCTCACCACCCTGCCTTCGGAAAAGATCTACATAGGGTGTCAAGTCGGCAAAGTATATCGAATGGTACTCCGAGAAAACCACAGGGCTTATGCTCTTCTTGTGGTTCTCTTGGAGTTTGTTGCGCAACCCAAGAAGAAATCCAAACAAGGAACGAATGAATCCTGGGAAGAAACTGCTGCTAGACAGAGCAGTCCCCGATCCTGGTTGGTGGCACACATTCCCACGCCGGAGTCTTTTGCCGACACAAGAAGAGACAGGCATCACCACGCCTGCAATGGGCGTTGCCACCCAGCATGTCCAAAACATGACCGGGACACATCACAACATGACCGGGACACCATCAAAACATGACCGGGACATGACCGGGACACCATCAAAACATGACCGGGACACCATCACAACATGACCGGGACACTATCAGAGCTGGTGGGCGGATGGCGTCCCGGTCATGTTTTGATGGCGTCCGGGTCATGTGATGCTGGTGTCCCGGTCATGTTTTGATGGTGTCCCGATCGTGTTTTGATTGTGACCCAGTCATGTTGTGACGGTGTCCCGGTCCTGTTTTGATGGTGTCCCGGTCATGTTTTGATGGTGTCCCGGTCATGTTGTGATGGTGTCCCGGTCGTTGCGACGGTGTCCCGGTCATGTTTTGATGGTGTCCCGATCATGTGATGGTGGCGCGGTCATGTTGTGATGGTGTCCCGGTCATGTGATGGTGTCCCGATCATGTTGTGATGGTGTCCCGGTCATGTTTTGATGGTGTCCCGGTCGTGTTGTGACGGTGTCCCGGTCATGTTTGATGGTGTCTCGATCATGTGATGGTGGCGCGGTCATGTTGTGATGGTGTCCCGATCATGTTTTGATTGTGTCCCAGTCATGTTGTGATGGTGTCCCGGTCCTGTTTTGATGGTGTCCCGATCATGTTTTGATTGCGTCCCAGTCATGTTGTGATGGTGTCCCGGTCCTGTTTTGATGGCGTCCCGGTCATGTGATTGTGTCCCGGTCATGTTGCGATGGTGTCCCGGTCATGTTTTGATGGTGTCCCGGTCGTGTTGTGACGGTGTCCCGGTCATGTGATTGTGTCCCGGTCATGTTTTGATGGTGTCCCGGTCATGTGATTGTGTCCCGGTCATGTCCCGGTCATGTTTTGATGGAATAGAAATGCTGCATGGCCAGCGGAAAAGGGCGGACACCAGCAGTGACAGACCTGGAAAACAAATGAATAGAACTGTTGCATCGCCAGCGGAAAAGGGCTGACACCAGCAGTGACAGACCTGGGAGACAAATGAATAGAAATGCTACATGGCCAACGGAAAAGGGCGGACACCAGCAGCAACGGACCTGGGAGACAAATGAATAGAAATGCTTCATGGCCAATAGACAAGGACACACCAGTGACAGACCTGGGAGACGAAAGAATAGAAATGCCAGCGGAAAAGGGCGGGGAGACACATGAATAGAAATGCTGCATGGCCAACGGACAAGGGCGGACACCAGCAGTGATAGACCTGGGAGATGAATAGACATGCTGCATGGCCAGCGGAAAAGGGCGGACACCACCAGTCAGACCTGGGAGACAAACGAACAGAAATGTTGCATCGCCAGCGGAAAAGGGCGGACACCAGCAGTGACAGACCTGGGAGACAAATGAATAGAAATGCTACATGGCCAGCGGAAAAGGGCGGACACCAGCAGTGACAGATGTGGCAGACAAATGAATAGAAATGCTACATGGCCAGCAGAAAAGCCAGCGGAAAAGGGCGGACACCAGCAGTGACTAACCTGGGACACAAATGGATAGAAATGTTGCATCGCCAGCGGAAAAGGGCGGACACCGCAAGTGACAGACCTAGGAGACAAATGATGAATAGAAATGCTGCATGGCCAGCGGAAAAGGGCGGACACCACCAGTCAGACCTGGGAGACAAACGAATAGAAATGTTGCATGGCCAACGGAAAAGGGGGGACACCACCAATGACAGACCTGGGAGATAAATGACTTGAGGCCAGGGGAGGAGGTCGAAAGCTAGCCGAATCGCACCGGATGTACTGGTTACATAGTCGGCAAAGCATGTAGTGATTACATGTTTTGGGAGAAAGGTTGCTACGTACATACTTTGCGCTGAAGAATGTAAATGCGACATCGCCGACTGGGAAGGGTACATTGGAACAACACGGGTGCACTCGTTGGCAGGCACGAAGATGCGTGATCGGCAAATCTGGGGGGTAAATTTACCCCCCGCTTTTGTATGCCTTGGGTCGAAAAGAGGGGTAAGCATTTCTGGATATTTCTGGCATCACAAGGATTGTGCATACACTAGGGCGTCCGCAGTGTAGGATAAGCACTGGTAAAAGGTATAAGGAGTAGAGTGTCTTGAGGAAATAGCCGGCTTATGGTTATGGCAACTCTGGGGGGTAAATTTACCCCCCGCTTATGCATGCATTAGTTTAGAAATAGGGGTAAAGAACTTGTAACAGTGAAGTTCAAGTCCTATGCAGCAAGCAGCAGCCACCAGCAGCAGCAGCAGCAGCAGCCAGCAGCAACCACCAACCAGCAGCCAGCCAGCAGCACCACGCAGCAGCAGCGCAGCACCAAGCCGCAGCAGCAGCAGCAGCACCACCAGCAGCAAGCAGCACCACCAGCAGCAAGCAGCAAGCAGCAGCAGCAGCAGCAGCGGTGCTGTCAGCAACAGCAGCAGCAGCACCAAGCCGCAACAAGTAGCAAAGCAGCAGCTACAAAAGCGGCAACCAGTGGCAGCAGCAAACAGCAGCAGCAAGCAGCAGAGCGGCAGCAGCAGCACCGTTTACACCAAGCCACCGTTTACACCCAACCAACCACGTTCACACGTTCAACCAACCCCCGCTACACAGCGCAGCTGGGAATCGAACCGCGGGGGGGAGGGGAGGGGGGGTGGTTAGTGTGATATATCAAGCTTTAAGGCACACAGCTCATCCCACTACCAATTGCTAAAGCAAAGAAGAACTCAGCTAGCATGCTAGCTCTCGTGAATAGAAATGCTACATGGCCAGCGGAAAAGGGCGGACACCAGCAGTGACAGACCTGGGAGACAAACGAATAGAAATCCTACGTGGCCAGCGGAAAAGGGCGGACACCAGCGTGACAGACCTGGGAAACAAATGAATAGAACAATAGATACAACTGTTACGTGGCCAGCGGAAAATGGCGGACACCGGCAATGACAGACCTGGGAAACAAATGAACAGAATTCCTGCATGGCGGAAAACGGCGGACACCACCAGTGACAGACCTGGGAGACAAATGAATATAGACGTCGCATCGCCAGTGAAAAAAGGGCGGACACCAGCAATGACAGACCTGGGAGACAAATGAATACAAATGCTACACGACCAGCGGCCAATGGAAATGGGCGGACACCAGCAGTGACACAAAGGGCGGACAGCATCTTAAGAAAGAATTGAGAACCCCTAAACGTAAACTGTTTGGGGAAAAAGTGGGAGACAAATGCAAGGAAGTGGGAGACAAGCCGGCCGGAAACCCGACTACAAGCATCCACTTTGGGAGACAAATGAAAAGAACTGGGAGACAATTAAAGGAAATGGGAGACAAATCAAGGAAGTGGGAGACAAGCCAGCCGGGACAAATGAAAAGAAGTGGGAGACAAATCAAAGGAAATGGGAGACAAACGCAAGGAAGTGGGAGACAAGCCAGCCGGGAACCGGACATGCGGGAACCCGACGCAGCCTGGGATGAAAAGAACTGGGAGACAAGTGAAAAGAAGTGGGAGACAAATGAAAGGAAATGGGAGACAAGCCAGCCGGGAACCCGACCACAAGCACCCAGCCTGGGAGACAAAAGACAATGAAAAGAACTGGGAGACAAATGAAAAGAAGTGGGGGGACAAATGAATGGAAGTGGGAGACACATGAAAAGAAGTGGGAAACAAATGAAAGTGGGAGACAAGCCAGCCGGGAACCTGACCACAAGCACCCAGCCTGGGAGACGAATGAAAAGAACTGGGAGACAAATGAAAGGAAGTGGGAGACAAGCCGGCCGGGAACCCGACCAGACCATCCAGCACCAAGGCGACCATTCTTTAAAGCATTGAGAACCCCTAACAGTAAACTGTTTGGGGAAAAATGTCCATCTCGAAGTCTGCGAACAAGAAAATCATTCAAAAGCTGGATCCATTCCGTCTCGAATACTCTGGAGATTTGGGGAAAAAGAGTACGTATGACGTTTCATGATGTTTCTACGACATGCGGCCAAAGCGACATTTATGATCTATTTTGCATCGCACTGCACATTCGTTGAGTTCTAGAAGTGTTCGCGCCTGCTGGCCTGGGCCAAGGCAGAAGACACTCGTTTTTTGCAACAGTACCCAGACAGCAGCAAAGTCCTTGCCTCAAGAATCAGGTAGACGTGCTCCACAAAAAGACAATAAAGACGCATAAGATGGCACCTAGAAAGCTATGGAGCAGCCGATGGCTGTTTTTGAAGAAGTTGGACTTCTCTATGCCAGACGAAGATGTTTTCTCATTGATGTTGTGATCTCTATCCATTGCCGACTGGAGGCTGGCCGAGCTGCTAGCAACCACATATCATTTCCGGAAGGCGCTATCACCAGTGTCGCCTGGACCGTGAAGCTGCTTAAGGAGGTGTTTGTTTTTTCAGAAATTCAAAGTGAGGACATCTTCCAAATGTGATCAAGTTTGTGAGACGTGCCAAAGAAGCAATTCAGCAAAGTCATTCCAAGAGGAGATTTGAAGGGAATGGAGATGAGAGTAGCCCAAGACAAACAGCACAGTATCTTTGCAGATGACAAGCAATAAGTCTTCCCGAGAATTTTGGGCCTTTGGACAAGAACTTGAACTTGGATACCTTCTGCACACTTTGATACGTTTGAACAAGAAAGCCTGCAACTGTCTCCGTGAAATTGTCATCCTCAATACAATAAACACAATCAAGATGTGTTGACACGGAATGCTCACTGCACATGGCATGGGTGTGGCATAACTAGCACAAAGAGTACAGGTGACAGCAGCAGATTGCAATAAAACATGTGAGCTAGCAACACAAAGCATCATGTTGTTCAAAGCACGGCACCGCAGACACCACGTTACACCGGAATTTGCTCAGAATTTGCAAAGCCAACATCTCTAAGACCTTCTAGGTATGCGGGCTACGCAAACAACAATGTACTTTGGAGGTTCCCATTTAGCTCTCACTTGGCAGGCAAAAATCAGGAAAAACTATATATTTATATAGCCTATTTTAGGCGTAATTTATCCCATTCCAAGCACCGCAAACTCTCATCCAGATCGGGATCTTTGTGAAGTCCATTGGCTATGATGAGCGACGGAAGCGATTGCACCTGTTCAGAGAGGGTAAGATTACCCTCATGGTCGGGAGCCCAGGTTGAAGAGTGCGTGTGGTCATTGTTGCAACGGGCAGCAAGGCGTGTTTGTGAGCCATGTTTTGTCACCATGCTTAGATAATCAGATATAACTGACTGCCTTTCCAGCTCCTGTGCGAAAAAGCCATTCTATCAAAGCATGCATCAGGGGCCCTGAAATTAGGAAAGAAAAGGTAACCAGGTAACAGCAACTATGGCCTGTATATAGTTTCAAAGAAAATCGGCATGTACCTGTTTTCTTGGTCAGAGTATACCGAGGTGTCCACTGACCTCTTGGCCCGTGGCATTGACATCCCAGACCTGGCGAATGCGGGCCCACCGAGCAGTGTTCACCACGCCAGACTGGACAGCAAAGACCACCTTCCAAGATGGTGAGAAAACATGTCACTCAAAAGCACGACTCTTCATATACTCTCAGTGCTAGCTGAAGAGAGAAGAAGTGTTCTTTGCTTTGCCATCTTTTGCGCGTCGAATTGCACCGATCTGCCACTCAGGTGGTGCAATTCGACTTCTCGAGGCATCGAAAACCGGAAGATGCCGGAAGTCTGTGGTCCGTTGACCATGTTGACGATCGAAAGTGACAGCCGACAGTGATAAACTTTAACATGCTTTAACATGGGTCGGAGTATGTCGGAATCATGATGAATCATGCGTTTCATAGTTAGAGTAGCTTAGAGTGCATAGGTCATCGTGCACAGTTGTCCCCGTGAGCTCTTGTGCCACCGGTCAGGAACGTAGTGAATCACTTGCTGCGAAGCGGCCGCAGGGGTGGCCCAGCAGATGGATTTAGAGCTAGTCCAGTCCGTTGAATCTAAAGGAATTATGAAGAGTCTGTGTTGAAGTCTAGCAGCGATTCCGGTGTCAGGCTCTAAGCCATAAGAGTCTTAATGTAAATCGATATTGTATGGTTTTTCAAGGGTTTTTCTAATGTTTTTGTGGCGAAAAAGAGATGACAAGTCACCTTTCCGGTGATGTACCCATCACCCAGGAGTGAGCCGCGCGGGCTCCCGTGGACGCGTCTTCAACATGTACGATGATGATGAGCAGGGCGGCCGGGACTGGCATGTGGCTGGGAGCGGAGAGAAGAAGGGTCAGTTCTGGGACCAGATTCACGCCGCTCCGCGGCAAGGTCCGCCCGCACCGCCATGAAACAGTTGCCCAACAAAAACGGCGAATAGCGAGGTTGACCTTTGAGGTTGACCTTGCCAAAAACGCCACTACGTACCGTATTTTACAGTGTTGTTATGCTCTGTGAGGCAGAAACCACTGCAAATAGCGATGTTTTTGAGCTTGCCGTGGCCCAAAACACCACTATTTACAGTGTTTTTGCACCTGCTGTCCAAAAACACCGCAATGTCGCCAAAAACACTGCTATTTGCGAGGTTTTTACATTTTCGCGCAAAGAATTCAAGCCTCGGCAATGTACAAAACACTACAAAAACCAATGTTTCGCGAAAACGGTCATCCAAACAGCTCCGAAATCACAAAATCTGGCCCCCCGGCCTCCCGACAAGACACATGGAAAACATACGCGTCGCAAAACCGAAAATCGAAGACCAAAAGTCAAACACATAGGGTGTTTTTCACTTTTCTCTTGCCGCTTCCGGGCAGGCGTGTGCACGAACTAGTCCATTACGTGCTGTAAAAAGCAGTGTTTTGTTGAAGTCCGCCGTCGTGACCTATCAAAAACCCATGGTTGTTGCCAAACAATTGCCCCCCCCAGAGTAAACCTGTACCTTACAGTTGTTTATGCCATCCGGATGATCACGCCCTGAACACCTTCGGCGCGGGTGGAATTTCAGAAGGATTGTCACAAGAAGAAGGATTGTCAGAAGGATGTGTGTTTTGGTTATCAGGTTTTCCGGCGTCCTCACTCGTCGTGTGTCTTTCGGAATTCCACGACGTGTTCTTCGGAATCCGTCTGCACCGCAGGACTTGGCGGAAGCCATCCAAGAGTTGGGCTCTGCTCCGTTGGACAGCGGGGATGCCCATCCGTGGTCGGGGGCGACTGGCTACTCGAGCCTCAAGCACATTGATGTTGCCGAAGAGCCACTTATTCCTGCAAGATCTTGCAAGTGGGGTTGGAAGATTGAGAGAAAGGATGATGAATGGCGTTGTCATAAATATGTTGTCCATTCCATTGTGGGGACATGTTGGGACTACCACCGATCTTGAAGGTACAGCAAGCCATGCATGTCAGCATTCACACGGCGAAACTGCAACAGGCTCATTGAAGCTGTTGTACATAGTGAAGTTGTTGGTCACTATGGAGAATCGGCAACTCTGGCAATTCTGGGCTACCAATACATGCGCCGGTGCCAGTAGAGTAGAGCATAGTAGAGCACTTTTGCTGAGAACTCGCTTCCATGCCCCACACTTAAGGTAGTTTCCTTCATGTCTCCTTGAATGAAGGATGACTATCCAAATCATTCCTAGTGACCCTAGTGACTATTCTGATATTATATTCTGATATGTTTTTCCGTAAGACTTGTGTTCATCCATTTGTTGCTCGCATGAGACATATAGCGCACATTAGCGCACTGTGCAATGTTGAAGCCCAGTTGCTGCCTGTCGACGTCGACGCCGTGCGCTGTCCCAACTCAAGGCCTCTTCAGTCGACGTCGGGGTTTCCGACACATGCTGCAGCGCACGGAGGTCGGAGGAAAGCGGTGTCCTTGAGCGACCTGGGTGGTTTTTTCATGTTGTTCTTCTATGTTTAAAGCCGGCTCTCCCTCCCTACTTAATTAAGCAGGCGCCTACTGACTTGAGTAAGGGACTGGTAAACTACTAGCTACTTAAGCTACTGTACTACCTACTGGACGCAGGATAGCACTCGCACTAATGATTTGGTTCCTAGATGTTTAGGGAAACATGGGAAACTTGACATGTATAACAACACGAGCGAGGTCTCCCAAAAAGCACAAGAAAGACAGGTGACCAGGTGACCAAGCGCAAGGCAAGACCTCTTGTTATCCTTTGTTCAGTTGGTTGTATTCACCAGCAATCCTGCAACTGTTTAGGGAACCTGTCATCCTAAAACTGTTATGTGACAGTGGTTTGAACATAGAAGCTTCCATGTTCTTGGAGGGAGAGCATTCAGATAATCAAGTCATTTTGTCTATGCAAGTGCAGGATGTTGGAAGAGACAACATCAGGATGTTGAGCTCATCAACCTGCAAGATCCACAAACTCATGCAAACTCTGCCGGTAGTAGGAATCTGCCGGTGTTCCTGGGGCGTCGCCGGTCGACCAGTCTCTTTTTGTGACGCCCAGATGCATCAGATGCTCCTGATACGAGGCATTCCGGCAGATGCTCCTGATGCAGGGCCTGCCCCTTCCACCTCATTTGCAGGTGCACCCGGCAATTCTCCATTTGGTGCCATTGCAAACCTGTGTTGGTGATCACTGCGTCAAATGATGTGCTTGGTCGCTTTATCTAAGGACCTTCTCGGTTCAAATGATCCACCTTTCGAGCACTACTGAGGGTGAAAGAAGCCCCTTTTGTGTGCGGCTTCGTGACATGGGTTCCTCACGTGGGACCGGCCATAGCGGGATATGTAGGGGTAGGATTGATTCATCGAGAATTATACTCTGTGCAAATGACATGGGATCCTCCCAAAATCTCCCAAACAGTTTGAAAATACAAGCCGGGATGGTACCTGGACAATGGGAAATAGAGGAATGTACACATGACAAAGGAATAGTCACCAATTGTTCATGCAAACTCCTGTTGTTGAGTGTTTCTGCTTTCTGCCGAGCATAATGGTATCTCAGTCAAGACTTCAAGGTCCCTAAGGTCTAAACAAGACCCGTCGATGTTGTTTGCAGTTCTGACTTCTTGATTCTCTTGATGCTATCGGAAGGCAGCTCTCAAAAGAAGATCGGGAAGTGCATGACGTGTGCATGACTGGCTGCTCTCAACTCTCAACCTGTGCCCGTTTCACTGGGTTCAGTATTTTGTGAAGATACCCGAGATTAACAAACATTGAAGTGGCCATTGTTCATGTCAAATCCGAGATGTTGTGCCATTTTGTAGCAGATGAACCTCCACACCTTTTCATCTTACCGGGCATTGGGACGACAGTGAAGTGCATGTTTATGCAAGATAGTTATTACTGTAGGCGACTGTAGACCATATTATGGCAAAGTCCGGGCTCGGCCAGGGGCCCAGTCCAGTTGCTGGACAGCTCTCGGAGAGAAGTGAGGTGGATGCTCAGGCTTCTTGGGCTGCGGTTCTGATCCTTCTTGCTCTTCAAAAAAGAATCTGATGATGGCGCAAGCATCCCACGATGTATTTGACCCCCCTAAGTTTGCAAGTCTTCGTGGTCAATAGTAATCGGTGAGTCGAATTACTGCTGAAATACGTCCCGCCCCGTGCATAGAGGTCTCCGATCTTTTTTATGATTCTTTTCTTGGATATCCATGATCCAGCTGATCCTTGGTCCGTTCTTCGGTGTTGCGGGCTTGGGGAGTTAACTGAACTCAGCTTCGCTTGCCAACTCTAGGCGCTCCTTGATGATATTGAAGATGAGGATTCGGAAGACGACATGTCCGAGCCTCAGCTGATGGCGCTCGAAGTGAGCGAGGCAACAAAATGCGAGGTGGAGTGAGCGAGGGAACATGTTCCACGGAGCGAGAAGTTGTCCTTCAACTGGCACCATGGGTTTCTTCAGATGTTCCGAAAGACATGGGAGATCACGGGTTCGTAAACCCACAGCAAGCCAGGAAGTGCTGTCATCAAATAATGTATGATGATGATTGATGATGCCCATGTCCTTATCCTTGTAAAATGAGTTAAAATGAGGAGGGTTAAGGTTATCATGAAAGGTAGCCCTTCAGGGGATACCTTGAGTTTGTCTTGCGAAGCAAGTGTGGGCTCCTCCGGATCTAATACAGCAATTGATAGTTCAATTCAACCCCCCCCATAGAATTGATTTTTCAATACAACCCCCCCCCTCATCCCGAAGTGGATCACCTCGACACCTCGATGGTTATTTGGTGTTGAGCCCTCTAAGCTTGGGGCAGCTACAAAATACAAGAAAATCCATGATAAAGGAACGAGGACTTCAAAATCTTCAAAGCATGAGTTTTGGGAGCGTGCAGAAGTAGTTCACCTCCCTCCAGGGAACTGAGCACAGCTTGCGGACAGGCACTTTATCCTGGCTTTGAGGAGGAAACATAGGGCCCGTCGCCCATCACGGTCAAAATCCAGTGTAATATGGCTATAGCCGATTTTCATGCATACCATGCTTTGGTGCACAAGTCAGAATATTTGACATCTTCTGCACCAACAAAAACGGCCCTGCTGCACACACACACACATGCAAAAAAGGCATCAGGTCAAAGGTCAAACTGCCAAGACATTAGAAGTCACAGTCCATGAGACCTAGCTTCGCACAGAAGTTCACTTAGCTGCGCCATGCCGACAAGCCAAGACAGCTCGTTAGTTTGGCGGTTCACCCCTAATAGCGGCTATGCGGAAGTTCTGAAGGCACTGACTCTTGGTGGCAGTCGCAATTTGCTTCAAGAGCTGGGGGCTTTGACTTTGGCCAAACCTAGCTGTATTGATTATACGGTAAGGTGGTCTTGGACTACTGGAAACCTAGAATGGTCTAGAGTCTAGGCTATGTCCGTGGGCTAGATAACAGATGTCGTGTGACGGTCATGTAAATGACAAGTTTTGCAAAACTGATGCTGGGCTGAGAGGAATCAGGAGCCACTGGGTAGCGTCCGCAAAGGTGGGTGAGCGATAATCAGGATCACTCGGTTCCTTTCCGAAGATGTGAATCCTCTCGAAGAGTTCTTTTTTTCGAAAGGGTTGAGCTGTTGGCCTGTGGTGGTCAGGCGCCCACCCATCTTCCAAGCAGCCAATCAAATCCCTGTCAGGATTCAATCCTGTTGGCTCTTGCAGCAAGCCTTTCGGTCCTTTAGGACTATAGGAGCACCAGATATTGTTTCAAGCACAATCGCACTCCCGCCCCTGACAAAATTGTTTGGGGACCTGCAATTTTCGCTTTCGGCTTTTGCAAAGACGTTTCGTTCCTCAGGTCTTGAGGGCCAAGGCGGTGCAATCACGATGGCCATGCATGCACCAGGAGACGTCGAAGAAAGCGGTCTACTGCATGCTTGCACGGCTGTTGCCCAATGCAGATTGGGATGCTCACTGATCTGCCCAGAGACGCTGGGCATAATCTTTGGGGGGCCAGCTTGCACGTTTGTTGCTGTCACTCTTTTCTTTCGGCTCCAGGGTTGGGGCTAGCTGTTGGCGCAAATCATTTGGCTGAGGAAAAGTGAAGTCGAAGGCAGCAAGGCCGTTCTTTGTTGCCTTTTTTATGCGTTAGGTTGTCTCCAGCAGACTATTCTGGACATAATATAACCCGGCGCATCTCTATAGAGTGGGAGCCCTTAGGTCATCCTGAGTGATAGACGGTCAGATATTTGGAAAGCCTTTGTTAGAGAGAAGCTAGTTCCATACAGAAACGTGAGAACAGGAAAGGCATAAGAGCATAGACACATATGAGTGACGTTCAGATGTCCAACACGCGACGAGATTAGAGGTACTACTACTGCTACTATTACTACTACTACTCCTACTACTACTACTACTACGACGACCACCACCACCACCACCACTACTACTCCTACTGCTACTGCTACTGCTGCTGCTGTTGCTGCTACTGCTACTACCTACTACCTACTAACTACTAACTATTATTTACTAACTACCAACTACTATCTACTACTAACTACTAACGACTATGAACTAACTACTAACTGCTATCTACTAATTACTAACTACTACTACCTACTGCGCGAACTTGACCAGACCTACAGGACGTGTTGCGGGGGACCAGACACAGAGAAACGGGGTAGAGACACAGGGCACTGGATAAAACATACTATCAACTATCTATATATATCTGAACGTGGTTGGAAGGTCTTCTAGGTCTCTGTTCAAGTGATTGAAACAGGTAGTGACGGCACCTCCTACAGGTTAGAAGTGGAAACCCCTCTCCTCCGCCGGTGGAGGTTGTGGCCGTGCCACCTCCTGCGGTGGCACCCAACGCGTGGGTCCCAGCTGCAGGGTGAGATCTCCTGTATGTGGCAAGGATGCCCATTCGTACTTTTTAGTTTTGGACATTGCGAAACGTCTGATTGGACGAGAACAGAAGTCTTGTTGAGGTCTTCGGCATGGACTCCATTCGCTTGATTGAAACATAGGTAGTGTGATGGCACCTCTCAAGTTTGGAAGTGGAAGCCCCTCTCCTATGCCTGTGGCCGGGACACCACATGCTGTGGCACCCAATGCGTGGGCCCCAGCTGCAGGATGACAAGTCCTGTTCACGCGAAAGAAGCCCGTTCATACTTTTTTCGGTGATTGCGAGAACGTTGGTTTTGAGATCGATTTAGATAATAACATAAGTCTTGCTGTTTTGTTTCTATCTCTCTTCTGATTCAGGAGTGTTGGCGAGACATTCTTTTCTGTATTGGAAGTCTTCTGGGACTCTGTTCAATTGATTGAAACCCTCGAAGGTTGGAAGTGGAAGCACCTCTCCTGTGCCGCTGGAGGTTGTGGCCGAGACACCACACGCGGTGGCGCCCAACGCCTGGGTCCCAGCTACAGGATGAGAACTCCTGTATGTGGAAAGAAGCCCCTTCCTATTTGGTTTGGTGATTGCGAGAACGTTGGTTGTGAGTTTTGAGATCGACAGATAATGACAAAAGTCTTGTTGAGAAATCTCTATATACATGAGAAGGTCTTCTGATTGAGGAGTGTTGGTGAGACAGTCTTTTTCTGTTTGGAAGGTCTTCTGGGACTCTGTTCAAGTGATTGAAGCATAGGTAGTGATGGCGCCTCCTCGAGGTTGGAAGTGGAAGCCTCTGTCCTGCGCCAGTGGAGGTTGTGGCGGGCCCCGTGCCATGAAAGCATAGTTATGCTTTTGAGAAGCCACGCAGACATGGTGAACGGCGAAGGCAATTCCTTTGTCCGTGCCATTATGTGCTTTCCCGGGCTCATGGCACCTTGGGGAAGCGCTGGCGAATGCTTGGTGAAGAGTCTGCCCGAATCAAGTGGATGAAGGACGCTGCATCCTGCATCGAGACGTCAAGCCATCAAACTTCCTGGCGGTTCTCAACAGATTCATGGCTGAAACTTAGCTTGGGCTTAGCGGGTGCAAAACATCACGCCGCGCAAACAGAGAAAGCACAATTTTGCGCGCAAGCAGAGCCATTTTAGAGAAGCGTGTTGGTGGTTTTCATGCAGCGACTTTTTCCCATCTTCGGCTATGCCTTTCATGCTTGAGGTTCTGGTGGCACTGCCGTTCAGCTGGCTGACTTCGGTTCCAGTGTCCGGGTGTGCCTCGGTGCTGCCTGCCAACAGCGCGCCTTCTATGCAGCCAACGGCTGCTCCACAACATTCGCTTACGCAGGTCCTGATGCAACTGGACCGACTCAATAGATGCTGCTGATGTTTGCTATTGGCAGTAAAATTTGCAGAACAGAAGCAAAATCGCTGGGTCCCTCAAATCTGAAGATTAAGGCCTCCCACCCTCTTCCTGAAGGCCTGAAAGCGGTCTCCCTTGGCTCCATACATTATCAGGAAATCAATCTTCCAAGACCGCTCTGGCAGTGAAGCTTTTGAGTTGGGACCCACAGAGTCGGCCTCTCAGCGAAACTTGTCTGCGGCACCTTCTAACCAAAAAAGGTCGCGCAGAGCGTTGGTGGTCGCAGGGGCGTTTCAAAGAAACGCTTGATGACAAAGAGATGTTGGGGGACGAACAGAGTCCGCCGTAAGGCCTCGGCAGCCTCGCAGACTTTGAAGGTCTCGAGCATGTTGGGGCTGCCAGGCAGGCAGCCTGCACACCGCCTTTGCTGCGCCATGCTGGCACTGCGTTCCAGGTCCATACAATCCACCTTCGTTTTCAACAATATCTCCGTAGTGCGTTTTCAATTCGTCGAGAAGGCCACTCGCGTAAGGCGTTTGGCCCGCAAAGCAGGCCTTGGCCGGGCGGTGGTGTGGCCTATGGCCCATGGGCCGCTTGGTCTAAAGGAGAAAAAACGGGGTGCCTTCGCAGAGAGGTCTGAGCATGAAGAGATATGGGTTTGAAAGAAAGACGCGGAGTGAGAGGAACCTGTACCACCCCAAGTATTCGCGTTCGCATGGGCTTTTTTGAGGGACATCTTTGTTAACAACGCTTACAATTCTGAGTGCTTCGGCCCACGCCATTGGTGAAGTGTAGCTCCACAACTTTGCTACAAAACTGAGCGCTGTCATTCCGTGAGCATGTGGAAAATTGCAAGGAACATGTTCTTTCAGAGCAATGTGCCACAAACTCCGAAAGGATCCACACCACGACTTTGTATAGCTTGGACCGGGTTACCAGACCAAATCCAAGGTTACCAGACCCGGCCAGGTATGCAGCGTATGTCTCGGACATGCTGCCACGGAGTCTGCAAGGTGTCCTTTGCCTTGCTGCAGCGGGAGTGAGATTGATTGGCTGAGGGTGTCTGGAAGTCCTATATATGGGAAAGATGCCCGTTCGTTTTTGCTTGTCATTGCAAAACGTCGGTTTCAAATGCCTTTGGAGAGTTGGTCTGTATCTGTTGGTGACACGTTGAACAGCCTTTGGTTTTCTTGGGGGGATATTAAAACCCATCTTCAAAGGTTCTTCAATCGTATTCATCAATCCCGCCATGACAATGTCTCCAGGGACATGTCCAGTTCTCACTTTCCATCCGTTCATATCAGTCCTTGACGGCGGCTTCAATCAGCCTTGACAGTGGTTCATTCAACGCAGCAAAAAACCCCGTTCTACATGTTCCTGGATGGCTAAATGAAGCTACAGTCGCAAGCATGTGCACCTCAAACAGGGTGCTACATACTCACGGATATGTCTCACACATCTGCGAGACTTCGGGTCTTGCCAAGCACTGGAAGTCACCTTGGTTTCAGAGTAACCTGGCATATACATGGTTTCAGAGTAAACTGGCATATATCTATGTATAACCATCCTGGAGTAGATAGAATCGACTTTCGTAGGGGTTGTTTTCTCTTTACAAAACTCAGGGTTTTTGACATTCCTTTCATTTTATGAAGATTGATCCTATAGATCGAATATAAGGATAAGATTCTCATCAAATCCTCCCATTCCGGTATTTGCGCCTTTGCTATGTTCATGTTCTGTTCCTATGTGTATTATCTAAGTGGTTCTTTCCGTTTTTCTTTTCTTTAGAACGAATAGAAAATAGAACGAACAGAGAAGGAAAAGGACAACAAAGGAAAAGGAAGAGAAGTCCCTACAACCATATTCTATCTATGGGGTTTGGAAGGGCCGGTTTTGAGGAGTGAATTGTTTTTGAAAATTCGTCCATTCTATCTACTCCAGGATGATTACATGTATCGAGGTATATACTTGCAAACTAAATTTACTAAATAGATAACTTTCAGAAATATAAATAACAGATTCTGACCACTACCATCTAGTCATGAACATCCAATATCAAGACCCAGAGAACTCAGTGACCGATCGTCACTGATCAGATCTACCTTGCTGACTTCAACCGCCGGTGTTTGCTCAAAGGCAAAAAAGGGAGGCCAGCATTTTCCACGACTTTGTAGCTTTTTTTCTCCCTCTCCCTCTCTGTTTCTTTTTCCTTTCTCCCTCTTCCTTCTTTTTGGGAACCCTGTTCTTCTCTTGGTGTGTCCTTGGACACTTGTGTCGTAGCTGGGAACATCTACCTTTCCTTTCTTCTTTTTCTTTCATCTCTTCTCTCCCTACCCCTCCCTCCTGTCGGGACCTTATAGTGGGACGCTACTGGGGGCTCCTGGCCTTACTACTAGGTGCAAGGACGCTACTAGGGATGAGGTTCACCGTTTCTCGAAGAGAAGCCTCCCCTCCGGGTCCCGGGTCCTAGAGGAGCGGTGGCCAACGAAGACCTCCTCTGGGGCCTGTGTAAACGTACCTGCAGTTTTACCGGAGAAATTTCATCGTGGGCCCTGCTTGTAGCTAGAACAAGACGTCCAGCCTTTGCATCGGTTCCTCATCGGCAGATGTGCATTGTCGCTTTGGATTTGTCGATTTGGAGTTGGAGGCCACGCAGGCTTTAAAGTGGTTTGGAACACCGTACTTTTACCCGTCCTGGTTTTCTTAGGTTTTCACTTAGGCTGGCGTGTGGCACCGCTGTCAAGTCAGTATGCATTTCTATAAGTGTGTGCGGATCATGTTGATGCTGATTCTGATTGTTTAAACACCAAGGCACTTTGGGAACGCAGACTTAAAAGGTTATTTTCTTTGCTTTGTTGTATTATCACGCTTGGAAACCAACGTCAGGTTGTTTGGTCAAAAAAGGATTTAAGGATTTGGGCTGCTAAGGGTTGCGAGCACCACCTCACGGCTATAAAGCGGCTCGCAAAACTCCCCTCCGGAATGGACAAGGTCATGATGTCAGTCAATTCAACGTCAACAATGGCAGATTCACCAGTAAATGATGTGACGGGATGGTTTTTGATACACTCCCCAATCGTGGGGCGCACGTTGCGCGTGGCGCATCCGCGCCTGAGGTTGGAGGCTCCGGAAGCGGCTGATGCCTAAGCGGGGGGGCGAGCAATCACAGTTTCATCAAGCAAGTGCACGGGTCCAGACTCCGGACTCCTCATGTGCCTAATTATCCCAGCAAGAGACCCCAAACAGTGTTATTTAAGTAGAACAAGAGAAGGGTGAACAAACGAACTTCAGATGAGAGGCACACATATGAGAGCACACACATAAAGTGCTGCAACTGCTACGAAATCTGCGAGGTTCATGATTGCTGCCCTGAAATCTGCAGCGAGGTCCACAAAGCGCTGCACCTGCCACTAGATCTACACTTCCAAACACGTTCAGGTGTACAAAGTGCTATGCCTGCTACGAAATTTGCGCACAGAAGTACGGCAGCTCCGATCTCCTGCACCTGCCACAAGAAGAAAAGTGGCCACAGAGTCCGAAAATGCTGGCACCGCAACGAGAGCGCAGTCAAATAAGCACCCGGCTCGGGACAGACATCTTTTTGCTGAAAAGGGTCATCAAACTTGCCACCCTTAATCAAACGCAGCCTGAACAACTACCGCTTAAGAAAATACTATTTTGACCAACCCGTCTTTGTCGCGGAAACCTGAAGATGCTTGACATAAATCTGAGTACTGTAGGTTTGGGTGTGTATATATACATAAATATACACTAGTTGTTTGATGTAGTTTTGCATGGACAACCGCCTACAGCCAGGATATTTGCAGTAGTCAGTACGTGAGAATGAACCCAGTACTGTCCAATGCAGCATGAAGAAGGCAACAGTGCATAACCGGACAGGACAGGAGGCCAGGACGTTGTTCCAGTCCGTTGCAAATGTTCGGACACCACGGCCACAAGACCCAAGTCACAGAAGCGAGGGCCCGTAGCTCAGCGATCCTGAGGCGGAAGAGGGCTCTGAAGAAGTTTATGGCTAGGAAGCCCAGTGTGTTTCATGGTTGGCATGCCACCAGATCAACAGAGGGAAGGCTGCCAAAAAGACTCATCAAAACCAGCCATTCTACAAGGCAACCTTAGCTGGCAGGAGCTCCTGAGAGATGAACCGAGGATGGCCTCAAGGTCACCACATGTCACGATGCTGCATGTTCGCCAGATCTTGCAGAGAAACCAACCAGATCTTGCTCAGACGGCAGAGTCTTCAGCCTCCAGTCCAATGGAGCGATTGGTTTGCCAATGGTCCAGTGTCTTTGATGTTAAGCTGATAGGACAGCTTGTATTCAGTGCACATAAGAGCTTCCCTTTACTACTCGGTTTTCTTTTGTCGGGGGCATCGATGTTTCAACCGTGTGCTTCAAGGGGCAAGAGTGGCCAGAGCGCGGCTAGACGGCCCTCATGGCCCCGAGGTCAATTTATGGAGTCAAGTGACGCGCAGAAGGACCAAGACTTTCAGGAGATGATGAAGGCCCATGACAAGCAGAAGGTTGCTTTTAAATTATGTAGGCGTTCTAAACGATATCTTTGAATTGAACACTTTGGGATTGGATTTCAATCCTTGATCCCTGCAGTCACTGGAAGAAGACGGAGAATCCTTAAAGTCTTCAATCAGTTGAAACGTCGAAAAGTATAATACCAAGGGCTCACGCCCGAAAGCCGGCCCCACCACGGGGGAAGGGCAAGAGGAAGGAAGGAAAGATAGAGGGGAGGGTGGGGAGTGGTTGCTGTAGTGACTGTTGCGCTCAAGGCCAAGCGCCTATTTCAATGCCATCTATCGTTATTCCTTACTAATATTAATTTTCTTCAAAAGGAATCAGCCAAGCACAACGGAAGGCAATTTAATACCAATGGACTTGTACCTTACGGAATTTCTCATCAAATTCTGTGCAAAATTGAAGGGGATGGAGCCTGGCTTCCGGACGCAACGCATGAAGAAATGTTCAAAGCCTTAAAGCATTTGGAATCTGCTGTCCTTGAAGTCAAATGCCTTAAAATGTCAATAATTTTGCAAATTGTTCCTTGAAAATTCTCCATTAAATTCAATATATGTTCAATTAATGCGTTTGTTCCATGGTTCTCCGTCGGATTGGGGTAAACAATTATTTTTGAGATTTGACCTATCGAATGGGGTATTTGTGGAGGCCTAGCCGGATATACTTATGTCCTAGAGGGTTCAGGTTTGTCAATTTGATGGATTAGTCTGTTGTTGTGTGAGGTTGTTTGTAATGTGGTTGTTGCGGTATGTAATATAAAATGTATATAATATACGAAGAGTGCGTATAATGGCGGTTGCAGGAAATGATCTGGTTAGATTAGAGAATTCAATTATTATGCAAATGTTATGGAAATACGAATTGCGGATATATGAGGTTCCGAAAAGGAAGTCGCGCGCAAAACCGACGTTTTATGTAATCTCTAGGTTCGACGATATTATTCTACCTAATCTTGATAATGATGACATAATTTAAGGGCTGCCGCCCAGTGCCGCCGACCCCAGGAAGGGAGACAAAAGAGGTGTGGGGCGGACAGAAGGCATGGTGACGCGTGGGTGGTAGCGCAGAACACATGGGGACACCGCGGCGTGCTGCACCGGCTATGTGGAATCCCCAATGTGAGGAGGGGGCAGGAGGGGGTGCTGCATCGGCTACGTGGAGAGGAGGGGGCAGGGAGGGGGTAAGCGTTAGAGATATTAAAGGGGGTGGGGCAGACAGAGGGCATGGTGACTCCACGGTGTGCTGCATCGGCTACGTGGAACCCCATGTGGATGTTAAGGGGCTGGAGGACACAGGGACGGGGCCATGGCAGTGTAGACGGGGTGGAGGTAGAGGGTGCAGGCAAGAGGGATGAAGTGGGAGACACAGGAACGGAGTCCCTATGGTCCCTGTGTGGAGGTTTACTCGCGGTGGCAGTGGGACATGGTGCCAGTATAGGGTGCAGGCAAGAGATGAAGTAGGTGGTAGGGCAGGCGTGCTGCATCGGCTACGTGGAATCCCCAATGTGAGGGGGGGGCAGGGATGGGGTAAGCGTTAGAGATATTAAAGGGGGTGGGGCAGACAGAGGGCATGGTGACTCCACGGTGTGCTGCATCGGCTACGTGGAACCCCCGTGTGGATGTTAAGGGGCTGGAGGACGCAGCAGGGACGGGGCCATGGCAGTGTAGACGGGGTGGAAGTAGAGGGTGCAGGCAAGAGGGATGAAGTGGGAGACACAAGGAACGGAGACCCTAAGGTTTACTCGGGGTGGCAGTGGGACATGGCGCCAGTATAGGGTGCAGGCAAGAGAAGGTGGTAGGGCAGAACACATGGTGACTCCACGGCGTGCTGCATCGGCTACGTGGAATCCCCAATGTGAGGA